GGAAAAAGGAGTAGGCGTGTGTTTTCTTGTTTTTCAAGAAAACTGGGTTTTCTTTTCCCTTTTGGATTGGGGAAGAAATATCTATAAATAGAGATTCTCCTAACCTAGAGAAAGATGGATTAGTTTTCTATTTGATACTTGCCCACCCAAGTATTGAGAGAGTTCAGATGTGAACTTGGGATCACTGTAGAAGACCATAATTGTTGTCTATCTTGTGGATTCACTTGAAGGTCTGTCTAACTCGGGGATTTGCTTGAAGGTATCTGCTCACGCTTCAAGAGGTATTTATCGAATTAAATTCAGCAAGTTTATGTGTTCTTACATGATTATGTGTTCTAGCATAAACGATTTGGTTATCTATTATTCATGTAAGCAGCAAGATTATGATATGCTTCCGCTGTGCATATAGTTTTCCAACACAAACATGAAGAATTTAATTACACAAAGACTAAAAGTAGCTTCTGTCTCATTGCTACCTCCAGCTAATGCTTTCTTATTTAGATACATTGAACTATAATAAAGTTAGTTACAAATTGATTTTTACTTTACAATGAAATATTAATAAAAATGGACTTATCTTATTGAGTCTATTAATTTTGGTACGCGTGTTACGTAAGGCCCATCAAAGTAGAAATGCTTTCTGTTATGATTTTTTTTCATTACAAGGATTCGAACTCAAGCCTGTTGATTAAGGTCGATCCAATGTAATGCACTATAATTCTTTGTGGTGATTTAGATTTTTAACATTGAACTTTTTATGGTAGCTTTGGACTCAGAATCATATATTTATTAAAATTTTATGTTTTTTCTCACATACATATCTATATTCAAGATTATTGGTTCGATTGAACACACTCTTTTTGTTTTTGTTCTTTCTTAAATATATGACATTTTCACTAATAAGGATTGTAGCAGGATAGTCGATAGATAGAACAAAATGGAATAAATTTAGGATACATTATGTTGTAGTAACATTCTTAGAGTTCCATTCTCTAACATAAAATAAAAGAATACATAAAAACATAACAAACAAACACCATATAAAAAGCCCTCAAAAGTTCAATTCCTTGACATTGTGCATTGCAATGTCATTACAAATTTAAACCAAAACATTGTATACTAAAATTTCTTGTTCGATAACGATACTGTTCAAGTCAGCTTACGTACACCTCAAACATTATTTCTCTCCAAAACGCTTGTAAGGATCTTGCATCTTTTTCATTTCCATAGCACCAAATACACCATAAACACTACTTTCATTCCCTTGATCACTACTACTTTCATTATCTTCTTGATCACTAGTTTGATCCAAAGCCAATAAATCATCTCCGTACTTAACACTTTGAATCCTCAAATTCTCATGATTTGCCTTCACAACATTATTCACTTCTTGCCCTTTCAAAATACACACAACTTCTTTCATCGTTGGACGTTTATCAGGCTCACTCTGAACACACAATGCAGCTACACGAATCGATTGTTTCAATTGAATTTCGTCAAAATTCCCCTTTAACTTAGGATCAACAAGATCCTTAAATTTTTCTTTAGCTATCATTGGTTCCATCCACTC